TACTAAAATAAATAAATAAATAAAGCTGAGGAAAATAGACAAAAAGATAATTATAGACCCAGTAACTCAATCCTGGTCACAATCTCAGCAAAGGGTGAAGACTGTAATTAATCCTGGGGCCATTTAACTTAATTCTTGCTTTATTTCTTTTTCTTTTGGTGCTGGAAGCCAGGACTTCATGCATGCTAGGCACATGCTCTACCACCAAGCTCCACCCCAGCCTTATGTTCTACTTGATCCCTGTAGAACTACAGACAGTCTATACAAAGGAGCTGCTGCCACCACTACTGAACCCCTGAAGTACCTGCCCCTCTCTGGCCACCCTCTGGACACCTCCAGGCCATTCTAAAGCCACAGAGACACTTTTAAATACCAAATATGATCATCTCGCTCTATGCTACACCTCCACAATGACTTTCTACATAATCATTAGTTGTAACAATCTATCTAAACAATGTTAAATGTGTTAAAATCGATACTTCCAAGCCCTACCTAATGCATTCATTGTGAGTCTCTTGGGATGAGGTCATAAAATCCCCATCTTTAAGAAGAATTTCCAGGTACAGCCAGACATGATAGCTCACATATGTCATCTCAGTTATGTAAGAAATATGAATAGGAGGATCGTGGCCCAATTGAGCCTGGGCATAAATCCAAAGCCTTAATTGAAAAATAAAGAGAAAGAAAGAGAGAAAGAAAAAAAGAAAGCAAGAAAGAGGAAGGAAGGGAGGGAGGGAGGGAAGAAGGGAGGGAAGAAAGCAGGGAGGGAGGGAGGGAAGAGGGGAGGAAGGGAGAGAGGAAGGAGACTAGGAGTGTGGCTCATGCTATGGAGCACCTGCCTAGTAAGTATAAGGTCCTGAATTCTAACTTCAATACTGTCAATAAAAGCAAAAGGCAGCCGGGCGCCAGTGGCTCACGCCTGTAATCCTAGCTACTCAGGAGGCTGAGATCTAAGGATCGAGGTTCAAAGCCAGCCTGGGCAGGAAAGTCTGTGAGACTCTTATCTCCAATAAACCACTAGAAAACCGGAAATGACGTTATGGCTTAAGCAGTAGAGCACTGGACTTGAGCTGAAGAGCGCAGGGATATCGCCAAGCCCAGAGTTCAAGCCCCACGACCGACAAAAAAAATAACTGGCCTACCACTTTGCCATTCCAGGACACCATACAAATGCCTGCAAGTTGGTAAATACTATATAAATTGAGCGTCAAGGCTAAGACCCAACCAGCTTTATTCAATGATCACCAAAGCCTCTTTTGTTCAGTGACAATATTACATAAGTTACAGACTCAAACGTCCATAACCCAGGACACAGGTTTCAAAAGTGGCCAATGTTTGAGCAAATCCTGTGTAACACCCGAGCAAACTGGCTCATAGATAAAATAACCTAAGCCAGGTTAAGAGTTTTTCCATAAGATATGCTCACTCCAAAGATCATTCCATTTCTTTCTCTAAAAAATACCATGCTGTTACAGCTATAAAATTATGAGAGGAAAAATATAAAATGATACACACTGAAGCCACCTGTGATTTCTGGTTCCTGTCTGTGATTCAATTTGAAAAGAGGGCTCTTCAGCACTTTTGCATTCTAAAAGTTCCCATAAAATGTTAGAGGTGAGCTTTGTTAATATTGGTATTTCCAGAGGTATGCAACCTGCATATCTGGTATTTTCCCCAGGCTTTAAAACAAATCCTTGCCGGGCGCTGGTGGCTCACACCTGTAATCCTAGCTACTCAGGAGGCCGAGATCTGAGGATCGCGGTTCAAAGCCAGCCCGGGCAGGAGAGACTGTGAGACTCCTATCTCCAATAAACCACCAGAAAACTGGAAGTGGCGCTGTAGCTCAAGTGGTAGAGCGCTCGCCTTGAGCTGAAGAGCTGAGGGACAGTGCCCAGGCCCAGAGTTCAAACCCCATGACCGACAAAAAATAAAAAAATTAAAAAAAATAAAACAAATCCTTAACTTTTTTTTTCATCTCTAGACATGGGGTACCATTTAACCTAGTGTTAGCTTTTGTATCTTACACCTAGTTAACAGAAAAGGAAGATCTCATACCATCTCTACTGGTGGCTCCAATTGGGAGTATCCCCACACACACTTAAAGCAAGTAACTGGACAAAGCTCAGATATTAAATATTACATCTAAGCCTCCAACTGGGGCTGTAGGCAGTGGCTCATGCCTGTTATCCCACCTACTTAGAAGATAGATAACAGGAGACTCGTAGATAGAGGTCAGCTCAGGCAAAAAGTTGGTATGACCTCATCTCAGCAAATAATTCAGACATGGTATCCTCCGTCTATAATCCCAGAAACATGAGAGGATAGGCAGGACTGGGGTCTTGGGCCGAGTATGGGCAACACTCAAAGCCCTATCGGAAAAATAAGTGAAACAAAAAAAGGTCTTGACATGAGCGGAAGGAAGCCTGGCAAGCAAGCAAGAGACCCCGTGTTCAATCCCTGGTATGCAATCCCTTCCTCTCCTTTACTCAAGTTTTCAAATTATTCAACCTGTGTCAATAACCCAGAAAAACAGCTGCCTTCGCAAACTGTAAACAAAGAATTGGTTTTTAAACCTGATAATAGAGATCAAACAGTCCTGAAAAATATTTGGAAAAATATGAGATTTAATCATACATCAAGTTTCTAATCTGAATCATGCCATGTAGTACAACAGACTTTTTTTTATTTAAAAAAAATCTATGCAAGTACTTGTATTCGGCTCTGGTTCTTCTCAAGAGCTTCAATCTGAAAGAAAATGTCCTACTCTAGAGAAGCAGAAACTTAGGGCTCTAGGAGCCATGATGAGATAATTCTCAAAAGCGCCTGCATGAGAAAATCCAAACTTTTCCAGATGGAAACACAGAGAGAGGTGAAGGTGACAAGGTGTTACACGGGTATGGAAACAATTTCCCACTCCATCCTGCACACGCATCCCCCTCCATGGCTCAGCACCCAGGCTATGAAATCTAGGCCATAGCTGGGTCTGCCATCACACAGGTTGACATAGCAGTCACTGGCAGTAACACCACATAAGAGGAAGGCAAAGAAAGGGGCCTTCCTGAGACTGACTTGACACACAGCATGCCCTAAGGCAAATCACGCATGAAGACAACTCCATAGAAGGGCCCCATATCTGAAGGGAATTCAACTCAGGTTTCTAGTCATCCTAGCTTTCTGGTGGCAAGTGACAACTTTACAGGACACCCTCACTATTATTTACTTATTTTTTACATTGTTTCCAATAGAATGGCCTCACAGCCTCACAGGTTCTCATGCTGGTAACCCAGCACAAAGCCTAAGTTTAGACTTTTCCCCCACCCCAGCCAAACTATAGCCCAACCCTCCCCCCTATCTCCCCGGATTGTAGACCCCCCCTCAGCCTTCACTTATGCCAGGACTCTTGAGATTCGCCAGCACACTGACAGATATGGCACAGCACAAGGACAGCAGAGAAAAGGCTCCTCTGGTCAAACAAGAAGAACTATATACGATGTTATAAACTGCCCAAACCAGTACTCTCCATTTAGACTCAAATATTTTAAGCAATTGGGAAAAGCAGAGAGAATGGGTATCAATGAGAGTGTAAAGTATTTTTTAAGTTCAGTGTTTATGTGTCAAATACCAACTGATTTTTCTTTCATTCCTTTCTGTTTCTGATTTTTTTGGTGGGGAGGGGGGGAAGAAACCACATCAGGATCAAATGTCACTTGGTTCTTATTAAAACAGAAGAAAGCAGACACAGCGGCTACACTGTGCCTTGGCTGACCTGAGCGCTCAGTAAAAACAAACCTCTATAAATCACCAGATGTGAGCAATTGGGTAGTGATCACTTTAATTAATTGAAAAGCTTTCCTGAAATTTACTGTATAATTTCAACCCTTCCAACAACACCTTTACTAGAAGCAAGGAACAATGGTGGTTCTTTTTCATAAGTTGTTTATGGGAAGAATGTGTTTTTAACATCAGAGATTTAATTTTTTAATTAAGATAAGATGGTGAAATTGCTTAATTCTAGAAATTAAGCCAGAAGCATTTTAAATGCTATCTTTAAATGCTGCAAAGACAAAATATTCTCAAAACTACTCAATACATGAATATAAACCTGTTATCTACCCCCAAAATATTTAACGTGATTTTAATTGCATTTGAAAATCCCTATTTGCAAACTAGCATGTAATGGTTTTTCTGACTTTTAATCACAGATTTGACTTTACCTGCCCAAGTTGATACTCCAAATTATGGCTTCTGAAGCCTGATTTCCACTGTAGGCATCTGTCCTCAGAAAAATAAAGAGTGATAAACAAGGCACAGGTAGTTCATGCCTCTAATCCTAGCTGCCCAGGAGGCTGAGGTCTGAGAATCCAAGTTTGAAACTAGCCTGGGCAATAAAGTCTGTGAGATTCTTATCTCCATTTAATGAACAAAAAACTTAGAATGGAGCTGTGGTTCAATGGTAAGTACCAAAGCTGAGCAGAAAAAAACTAAGGGACCATACAGGTTCTGAGTTCAAACCCTAGAACTGGCATTAAAAAAAAAAAGAAGAAAGAAAGAAAAAAGAAACTACATAATTAACGTATGATCCATAGACCTCCTCTCCCACCCACAATGGCAGTCATGGAGCAATGCCAGGATTAAAGTCTTTGTCTACAGAATATAATTTGATGGAATCTTGGAAAGGAGTTTCAGTTATGACAGAAAAGTGCATTTAGTGTGTTGTTTTTAGGAAGCCTGGGGACTAGGAATGCAGTTCAATGGAGAAACACCTGCCCAGCTACGGCATAGGAGAAACAAAACATAGTACATATTCATAAATTAAAATTTTTAAGGATGGCAGCATAGCCTGGAAAACCAGTGAATCAATTCAAAAAGTCTTTCTCTATCAGACTCTGGAGGACATGTTCAAAATTGGCTTCTTAGATCTCTCAATTAGTCCAAATGGAACACCTACTAGCCTATGCTCCTGAAAATGTACCTAGGAAATACTGATGGTATTTACTTACAAGGAAAGAAATGTAATATTTGCAGAGACTGGCCCCAGATCTGGAATGGCTTCCAATTCATTGTTGTTCAGTTTCCTACAAATACAAAAACAAACAAACAAAAAAGATGCTAATTAGGTCATCTGTCATTCAGAGGTAAGAACTTTATAAAGCATTCTTCAAAGACATCTCCCACGTGCAAAGCTTTAAATATTCATACAGTGACTAGTAAGTAAAGACATTAAGACTTACACTTCTCGAAGGCTTTGCAGGTGGCTCATGGAACTTGCCTTGATGAAAGATAATCTGTTGTGACTTAGGTCCCTGGAAGGAAAGAAGAAAATGATAAGTAGCTGCTACACATTAATAGTGCCTCATGATATGCACAAAACAATGTGCTGATGAAATATCTCAATCCACATGAGTGACAACCCTAAAACTAATTGGTCTATTCTGTCCACAAACTATATGGAAACCAAAATGCCAAACTCTAAGCTCGGAGGACAAAATTAGTTTAACAGGCTGGCAGATTGAAATACTTTAAGCCCACAAACATTTTAAGAGATGTTTTTTGGCACACGGTGAACAGGTCCTTTGTGAACGGCTAGTTTTGCTTTACCCTCCCATCTCCCCACTCTCAACTTGATACGATGACATCATGGCCCATGAAACATGGCTAATTAGGCAGGTCAACGAAATGACAGTCTCTACAGAAAGGTTTTTAATCACAAAAGTCAGCACCAAGATCCCTACTGCAAAGAGAACAGAAATAACTTGTCAAGCATATTGCGTAAAGTACGGTACATGTTTGTGTGTGGACACATGTGTGTTCAAAGTTAGTGTGTGTGTGTGTGTGTGTGTGTGTGCACGTTCAAAAGGAAACACAACAACCTGAACCCTCTGCTTTGATTCCCCAAATCGCCACATGTTGTAATTTGACAAATTAAACCACACCAACCACCTAACAGATTGTCCAGGCCCCTAGGAACAGATTTCAGTTACCACAATAAGTGAGCTGGTTACTCAAAGACTCAATCTAATGTAGTAGTAACAACCTCCACAGGACACCAGTACGAATAAAAATAAACTCCTACCCATATTAATACTGCAGGTGAGGAAATTACCTAAGCATTCAAAAATCCAGCAAACGCATTTGGTTGTATTGCTTCACACATGTGTATGTGCCTTCAGATGGTGTCAGAAAATGCAAAAGCTGGGGGGCTCCTTAGAAACCAGGCAAATTGATAGCGATGGCTCAACGCTCCCTTCTGAGAGGCAAGCTAACCTTCCTAAGACAATTCTTTCGGTGTTTAAAAACGAAAGCCTGAAAATAACCCAAGATTTAGATAGTAAAAAGTGACTGAAGCAAAGCATGAATTCTATCCCATGCACAAGTTTCCCACATGCGTAAACATAGATAGAATTGCACACAAGGAGGAGTTGTGGTGTATCGTTCTCTGCGAACGAGTAGATCCTTTTAGTCTTGTTTGAGTTTTGATTTCAAGAGTACACCTGGATTTCTGTATTCAACCTTTAAGCTATTTTTTTAAAATCTGCAATGGTTTTATTTGATATATGTTTGCTTAAAAAGACCTACCAGACAGTAACACACATGAGTAGATTTGTTCTGGTAGAGTTATAACATGAAAAAAAAAAAATCTGGCACAGTCTTGAAACTATAAAAGTCTTGCAATTACAAGCACCATGGTGCATGCTTACCACGCCGGCTGGAGCCAGACACTTTCCCTCACCGTCCGCTCAGATCCATCTGGAGTTCATCAAGGAAACCGTGAGCCCAACAACTCACCGTTCGTTAGAATTCCAGCAAACCTGTGTGCCTTGAGCACCCCCAGACAGTCACAGATTTCCTATATGACTTCAGAAACAACCAAGGCCTTGGCAAGGGAGTTTAGCTGAAAACCACACAGGCCTCGCTGGACTCTCTTGACTCCAGGATACCATACCTGCCTCCTTCATTGTTCCTACTTCCCAAAGCAAAGGGGAACCAATCTGGTATTTACATGTATTACAGGTGACTTTTCCTCTAAATCTAAAGACACGCACGTACGCACGTGCACACACACACACACACACACTTCAATCCATTGTAAGGATTATTTCACATTTCATGAGGCAATCTTGTGAGCAAATGGGATTCAGTGTTTCACTTGGTTTCATGGGTGATAAAAGGAAATCCTCCAGCAAAAGACCATTAAAAGAAGAAACTCCTGGGGCTGGGAAGGTGGCTCAGTGGTAGAGCGCTTGCCTTGCATGCCTGAGGCCCTGCGTTTGATTCCTCAGCATCACAGAAGCAAAAAGAAAAAAGCCGGAAGTGACGCTGTGGCTCAAGTGGTAGAGTGCTAGCCTTGAGCTGAAGAGCTGAGGGACAGCGCCCAGGCCCAGAGTTCAGGCTCTACAACGGGACCCAAAAAAAAAGAAGAAACTCCTTTGAGAGACAAGAGCACAAGCAGGAAGCACTCAGGTCTGATCCAGAAACAGGACTGGCAACTTGAACTATTTTACTCATAAAATAGTGTACTAGTAAAACCATTATTATATGTGGGAGAAGAAAAAAAATATCCCTCCAGTGACTTTTACTGCTAAATACTTAAAGCCACGAAACTTGTAATATAGCTAAATTTAGATTTTAATATAATTTACAATTCAGAAATAATTACTTTCCAGTTACAGGATGTCACGTTTTTCCCAAATCTTCCTTACGTGTTTTGAGTTTATGGCTAGATGGTTAAAGTGATACTCAAGACATATAATGCCTATGTTTTCTTAAACAGAAAACATTCAACAGGGCGCAGTTTCTTCACTACAGGTTGACCCACTGTAACAATGAGAAGTACAAGACACTATGTTGAAAATGAACTTTACAACTTGGGGGAGGGGGTGGAGGGAAGAATTTGGGAGGTAGGGAGGGAAGGGATAGTAGGGGAAAAACAAAAGAGGGGGTAACAATGCTCTATATGAAATATACTCATTACCTTACTCATGTAACTGTAACCCCTCTGTGCAGTATCTTTACAATTAAAAAAAAAAAGAATTCTGTGAATGGACATCTTCCCCCAGGAAACTTTTTTTCAGTTTTTTTTTTCTCCTTGAGGATATATCTAGAAGGCAGCTTAACCTTGTTCTTCATAATCAAGGAATGTCTCTCTTGCTGCATTCCTATCATCACAATGAAGGTATATAACAACAATTCATTTAAAGCATTTGATTCCAACTATCCTTTCCTTCCTTCGAGCATTTGGAAATCTGACTTCCAAGTCAAATTTTAAAATGCAAATACAGCACAACTTCTTAATCAGTCCTACTGGGGTTTGGGGAGCTGCTAATTCAGCAGAAATCTGGAAAGCAAGTTGAACAACAACAACAAAAAAGCCAGGCTGGCGCTGTTTTAAGACACTGATCCAAAGTGACTCATAAATCAGCCAGCTATGTTCGAGTCTTCGTCTGGAAAATACAGGAAAACAGCTGTGAAAACCATAAGGACTAATACAACTCCCCCCCTCCCCGGCAACCCACCCCCAATTCTGGTACAGGCCAGAAGATTTATAACAGGCTAACACTAAAGTCAACACTAGCACACACTACCTTTCAGACTTGGGCCTAAGCCCTGTTGAGAGCTCATACACTGCTATGTGATAAGATAAATAATTACGAGTTTCCACAGAGAACCTCGTAATACTTGAGGCTCTCACTGGACATCAAACTTTCCTATCTTTGGGCTAAAATATTCTACCAGCTACTGCTTTTGGGGCCAGAGTTCTGTAAGCACAGATCTAAAAACCAAGGCCCAGAAGTTTCTATCCTAACCACTTGCATTAAAGCATTAGAAGTGACTTTCTGAAAGAAATGAGTTCAGTATTACTGCTTTACAGCTCACACTATTCAACTTCGTGTGAATGAGGCTCCTAGACCATTAAGTCACAACCTAATAACAGTGGGACACACACACACACAGTTTTCACTCTGCAAATGCAACAAATGAAAAAACTGTGATTTTGAATTCTAACTTCCAAGGCAACTTTTTCTTCTTTCTCTTACATAAGGAAAGGTAAGAAATGGGGAAGGACAATATGCATCTTTCTACTTCTCTTTCCTGATCTCTCGATCGACTTAAATGGTTTTTTTCCTAATTCTATAAAATGTAAGTAGCAGTTTCTTGAAGTCTCTGCATCCCCATTCCAACATACCAAAGATCAAAACATAAAACTCAATTCCACATTATTTTTCCCCCTCCTTTCAAAGATAGAGAAGAGATCTCTCAGAGCCTGTGGCCTAGACAAAAGAAACATTTACAATATAGAAGTTAGGCCACATGGCTTGGTGACACCTACAAAGAGGGTTAGAAATCAGTCAGTGAAGTAGCAGAATGACGGGACTGTGGGGCTGTGCTCAGAGTGATCCCAGCAGGGTTTCTGACAGCAGACAGAGTGCTTATTTATACAAGTGGAACTTATTTTCACATACATTTAAGGAATGTGGACTTGTATTGAGACAATTTACTGCTGGCGGAAATGTAATTAAAGACTGTGCTAACCAAATAAACTGTAATTTGTTTTTAGTGTGCCACCAAATTATCTGCAAAACAAAATCCTAATTAGGTCAGCTACTTTTTAAGACAATGTTTAAATAGGTATCGAATCCCTTTGGGTTCAACTCAACTTCTAATCAAGAGCTGCACAGTTATTTTTTTTTTCAGACAGCTAAACTGAATATGTACCTACAGACTGCACACTGGCAGGATTCCAATGGTCCCTTGTCATTGAGAAACTATTGAATCAAGTTAGATTAGGTGAATAATCTAAGCTTTTCTAAAACACACTCCAGGACGTCCTGGACTACTTTTTCTTTCTCATCCATCTATTATTCCTAGGTGTTCACCTCCAGTCATTCAAATGTTCAGTTCCAGATGTTAACAATAGAGCCATTCAAGTCTCATGAATGCAACAGCAGGACCTCCACAAGAGGCAATTGAATGGAATTAGCCACAACTAATTGAAAGTCTTCCTGCTTTAGGTTTTAAAGCCCTTATCTCCTTCTTCACTTGTAATAATAATTTGAAAAAGAAAAAGAAAACTACTAAAGAAGACGTGCCACGCTTGGCGATTAAGCAAATACCAGCCATTTCTCCTCCATTCTGTTTCTGTATTAAACAAGTTTATTAACAGCACACACAACAGGCTGATGGATGACTAGCAATTCTACAATTCGCAAATAAATGGACTGAGATCAGAAGAGGACTTAAAAACACAACTGATTGATCTGACTAAATTTTCGGTCACATAGTGTTATGATATTCGAGTTGTCCACTACTGTTGTTTTAAGAACTGAGGAGTCTCTTTGCAATTCCGCTAGGCCCAAATCTACAAGTATGATCTCTTTGAAGTCAAAGTTATATCTTCCTTAGAAAAAGATAGCTGTATCTTGTGCTTTGGGGGTTATGTCTTACCGCTTTTCCTGAAATTTAAACAAAAGTAGGGGTTTGGAGAAGCTATAAGGAGAGCTGACATGTGCTAATGACGCGTCAAGTCAGTGGCATTTTTTTCCCTCGTTTCTTTCGTGACCTTGGCAATGCTACCAGACTTCACCGATAAAATCCAAAAACCTTGCGTAATAGCAATTGAGCTATTTGCCCGCTCAAACCGTCCTGGCTTGCTGAGAAGCTAAGCTACACCAATTAACGTCCTCGAAAGAGGGTTAAAAAAAAAAACCCTCTAGCTCCTTCGGTTCCATAATCTACTTCTCAATCTTCCCACACCCAACTTCGCAAGGGAAGCAGGTCGTGCGACAAATGTGACCCAAACCTTTACAGCCGGTTAAGGTGATGGTGACGCCCCGAGGAGAGTAGAAAAGTAAAGGGCTGCGCGGAGGGAGGGCTTCCCACGTCCAAGGCGCGCTGGCAAGTACTGACTGGTAACAGTCAAAAGAGCCCGATCAACTTCGAGACCAAGTCTGTGTCGTTCTCCCACTTGAATCCAGAGGAGAAACGGAAAAGTCAGGTCGCCCACAGGTTACCATCTGTCCTGGTCCGGGCCTTACAAGAAACGCGCAGAGGAGCCGGACCCTTTGTAATTGCCAAGAGTCCCAATTCCTGAGCAGTGCCAAACGTCCACCTGTACAACCAGCAGGAGTAAGGCTAAACCTCTCTCCCTCCCTCCCCCCAGCACCAACCCCCAGTCCTTTTCCACTCCCACAGGGAGCGGATCGCGGCCTGGAAGCGCTACAGCAGAAGGAGCTGCACGCCGCGCCCACAGCGCGCAGGCCCTCGCCAGCTCTGAACCCCCCCCCACACTCCCCCACGCCCGCAAATGTTAAGAGGTCCCACACCACCTCGCCAGCTAGGGCATACTTACAGCCGAGAGATCCATCCTGGGAGAGGCTCCGGAAGGTGCGTGAGCCGCTGGCGACCGCAGTCCAGCAGATCCCCGAGGCAGCGGCAGGGAGCAGGGCAGGGGCGCTCAGAGGACACCCCTCCCGAGAGTGCCGAGAGTGGATCGGGTGCCCCGCGGCCGCCACGGTGGCTGCCGGCGGCCAGGCCCGCGCGCCCCAGCACCGCGCACAGCAGCAGCCCCAGCGCCGCCGCGGGCGCACGGAGCCTCTGCGCGCGCATCGCGGTCCCCGCGGTCTCCCTCTCTTTCTCTCTCTCTCTCCCTCTCTTTCTCTCCCTCTCTCTCTTTCTCTCTCTGTCTGCCCGGCGCTCCGCCACCCGCGCGCCTCCTGGGGCTGGGCACAAACTTTGCTGCCGATGGTGGACTCCCCGATCCCGGCCGCGTGCTCGCTCCTCTCTCGAGCTCTCGGGTAAAGTCTTTTTAAGTCTCAGCAACGAAACCCTTCCGTAGTCTTCCGCCTCCAACAACAACAGAAAAGCAACCAAAAAGAACGGCCAAGTGCGGCCGAGTTGCAGCTCGAACAACGTCTCCAAAGCTTGCCAGCTAAGAAACTTTTCCGCCTGGGTCCCGGGGACTGTGCGCAAAGTCCGCGCACGGTGGAACAGCGAGGCGGGGCGGGGCCGGGCGGGTGGAGAGGGCGGGGAGGGCGAGCGTCCATTGGCCTGCCAGGCTGCCCCCAATTCACTCCGCGACCACGTGACAATAACAAGGCTCCAACCTCCCCCCCGGCCCCCCCCAACACACACACAGATACATACCCCTCTCCCTGGCTTTTCTCCCCGCCCCTTCCCCCGGCGGGAGCCCAGGAGAAAGTGGGAGCCGAGATTGTAGGAAATTCAGAGTTAACATTTTCCAGCCTCTCTAGCCAGAAGTCTCCACTGCGTCCTGGGAACCGTATATTAGTTGGAGTTGAAGGGAAGAAGGGAGTGAGCTAAGTCGTGAAGGCTTGTTGAGCTCAAAACTTGGGGATATTTAGGGCGTGGGGGGAGGGGAACTTAGGGGAGTAAAGTAAAATTAATTCTGTTAATCAGGAAACCTTTCAATCCCGAGTGGCAGAAATGTATTTCGTTATTTTAACCATCCGCACAAGATCAAGGACGGTTTCTATGAAAATAGTTATTTTAAATTTAATGCGTGTTGTTTTCCCCCCTCTCTCCCTTACAAATCAGCACTCAGAATGAAAGTCTAAAAGTCAGTCAGGGTTTTGGAACTGGTATGTGGAGTTACAAGTAGTCTGCCATCCTGCCGAGGTGAGGGTGAAGTGTTATTGGCCTTCTACTAAAATTTCAGCCAACAGCCAAGAATCGTTGAAGGGCGATCACAGTAATATTCACGAGGATCTTGGAGGGAAAACTGTAGATATGTGCCTTAGTCTCGCTGGTCTTTGAGAGTTGGAGATGAGAAGTTCTTGCCTGTCTTTGGGAATGAGGCTGAGTTCAGCCTTGAGAACTTCCTACTGACTTCTGTCCCATGGAGTCCTAAGTGATTGGGACCGCAGGGTATTGAAACTGAAGGAGACCCCAGAGATCATCTGTCTAACCCCTTTTCAAGGCAAAGTAATAGATCCACGGGGGTCTGTAACTTGCTTGAGGAAGGTGGGGAGCAGGTTGAGAACCTTATTTGAAGCATCTACATGGATGCATTGCTTACTGGATGCTGTTCTACCCACGCGTTGTCAGTCCCAGGGCTTCTGTGACTGCGCGTTATTCAGGAGTGTCGTGGTTTGTGGAGTTGAGACTTTAACCCTGACTCTATCACCCACTGATTTCCATTGTAGCAAATTACTAGTAGAAAGTAGCCAGTCACGGGAAAGGAAAGAACTCACTTTCAAGTGGGCACACCCTGTTTTAGATAAGATAGCCCATCCTCTTTTCAACTGCCTGTCACACCAACCCACCATGATTGGTTTTTCCATGAGGTATATAGGAGACATTATCGATAGGGTGCTTCAGTTTCAAATTATGATTTGTCTGCTTAGAGGTGGAAAAGATATACTGGTCATACTAAGAATTTCCCAGCTCAGGATCACCCATCTGTTTCATGAGGCAAACCAAGCTTAGTGCCTTGGAGTTTTGTTTTGTTTTGTTTTTTAGAAGGGGCTATTGTACATGTCATGGTGTGTGAGAATTGTGATATGAGTATGGTGGCTTACATCTGAGGTGTATCACCCACAGGACAGACATATCAAGCAAGTTAACCTGTAATCCCAGATACTTGGGAGCCGAAGATTGGGATATTTTGATTGCAGGCCAGCCTGGGCATAAGTGACTCACACCTGTTCTCTCAGCTACCTGGGGATGCACAATGGTCAACTGCAGTGATGCTCACCTGTCATCCACACCCACATGGAAAGGATCACAGCCCAATCAAGCTAGGACATAAAATGAGGCCCTACCTTGAAAATAACCAACCTAAAAAGAAAGTGTTTTGTAGGTGTGGATCAAATGGTAAACAGCAGAGGGGGGGAGGGGGGGAAGAGGCTGAGTTCCTCAGTTCCTCTACAATAAAAATAAAAAGAATCTCACAATCTCTTCTCTTCTCCATTCACCTTATGTTACTTCATCTTTTTCCACCAATCAAATTTACATTTATATTTACTACAACCATATTCTAGTCCATATCTTTCTCCTAAACAGTACACGCATACACACACACACACACACACACACACACACACACACACACACACACATTCAATCAGCCACAAGTCATCTCAAATTGGATATTCAAATGTGTGTAGAATGAGGTTTCATCATGCCCGTGACGTAGCTCCTTTTCCTTGAGTTCATTATCTAAAAGAATAATGTCTATCTCCCCATGGTTAACTGCTTCTGTCAATCCACAGAGTCAACTTGCCATCTCCTCCACCTGCAACCAGCAAGCCCTGAAGAAGCTAGCACCTACATGCCTCTTACCCCTATCTCCTTGGACCTGCAAATCCACGCCCAGTGGGCTCTTGCTTGAGTTTCTATCTGGCATTCCAATCCTTTCTCCACAAAGCATCTAAGTGATATCTGCAAAGGCCAAATCTGAGCTCATGACTCAACTACCTGATTCCTTTCACAAGTTGCCATTGTCCTGGGAGTAAAGTTCACATTTGTTAGAGTGATCTATCCAGCTTTACTTTTTTTTCTTCTTTCCTCTACTTAGCCCTTCAACTCCTACTTCATCCTTTCCCTTCTACTCTAGGAACTATTTGCAGTTCTCTTCTTGGATCTCTGCTGGTTGCTCTCTTTTACTGGCTGGTTCCTTGCAGTCCTGATCACTCTGTCCCTCTTCTGCCTGGTGGATTTGAGCCTTCTCCTTAGCATCCACTCTTCCTTTAGCAAAGACTTCCCTAAGCCCTGCCTAACTATGCTTCCACTTTCTTCCAGTGAAACCAGTATGCACTGGGTCCAGTTTCTCAGTCAGCCAGTTGGGAATACAATAAAAACTTTATCTGATTTCCAATTGCCAGCTTCCCGGATTTACTGTCAAGCTCTGTTCCCTCTGTAAAACCTACTAATAACGCTGGGCACCAGGTACCAGTGGCTCACACCTGTAATCCTAACTACTCAGGGAGTTGAGATCTGATGATTGCTGTTGGAAGCCAGTCTGGGCAGGAAAGTCTATAGGTTCTTATCTCCAGTTAGCCAGCAAAAAGCTGGAAGTGGAGGTATGGCTCAAGTGGCAGAGCGCCAACCTTGAACAAAGAGCTCAAGGTCGTGAATTGCAAGCCCCAGTACTAGCACATGCATATGCATGTGCGCGAGTGTGTGCACACATGCACGTGAGCATGTGTGCACATGCACACACGCACACACACACACACACACACACAGGATGTCTTTAACATCCTGAAGTCAGCACAAAGAGGGACCCTCTACATGAAAACCAAGACAATCTTTTCACAGGCTTTCTAAACCTTCATGAAGCAAAGGACCGAGAGAAGTTGCACTGCGGTGTGCCTCCATCTGTGCAACAATGACAGAAGACTGAGTCTTCCTGAAGTCCTCTCTAGCCTTGAGCTCATTCCTTTGTAGTGCATGGAAAATAAGTATGAAAACTGAGGGCCTGTGGGGAAGAGAAGTGCAATGCTCTATTTATGATTTATTGTTATCGTGAAGGTGATGTACATAGGGGTTACAGTTACGTAAGTTGGTAATGAGTACATTTCTTTTTGAACAGTGCAATGCTTTAAAATAATGTTCCTGAGATTGTCGTGCTGCACACTTTGTCCCCATTGCAAATGTGTTGGGAAGTGAGGAAGTCATTTAGGCTCCGCTTTGAGAAGGGATTAATGCTATCATCACAGGAGTGGGCTTGTTATCTGACAGGGAGGTGGTGATAATAGTTGAGCTTGGCTCTTTTTCCTCCTCTTTCTGCTAGGTGCATTTTTTCTTACCTTTCTGCCATCTGCTATTTGATCATTCAATGAAAAGGTCTTTATCAGATATGAGCCCTGTGACTTCCCAGGCTCTAGAATTCTAAGAGATATATTTCTGTTCTTTATAAATTACTTGCTGTCAGGTATTCTGTTGCAGGAGCACAAAACAAACTGAAAAAAAAATTGAATATAAAATTCTGTTTTACTTCCCAAATTTTTATCAATAAATAACTGTGAGCCAGACACAATAGACTTCATGTGTCACTGATCCTCTGACAATGTTATTTTTCTATGCACGTGCCCACACGCGCATGCGTGCTTACACAGGTTCACACACATGCACTGCAGGAGTGCATGCACATACACATGTGCACATGCATACTCAGGATGACATACATACAGGCATTTGCATGTGCACACACAGGTGAGCATGCATACATAGTACAAGGGACATTGCTTATGTCTTGAATCCTGAGGCTAATGTCTCATGAATAAGAATTTAGTGGAAGGTAGTCGCATTCATTTTTGAGAGGGATTATTTAACATTTCATTTAAATGCAGAGAAACTTCGACGGTTTTTTCAACTCTTTAGAGGTTACCCTGGCTAACTTGGTAGGTGAAAACTGGCTTTCCATTGGAAATGACCTCAACCATCCAGCCAGCTTGCTCTCATCTATAAATGATTTCCCTTGAAGGGCCAAGACAAGCCCAATTTAAATAGTGTCCTACTGCCCCTGTCCTCTGGTTGGTGGAGCCCAGACCCAGGGCTCTTTTCAGTTTTCCTCTGTGTGTGTGTGTGTGTGTGTGTGTGTGTGTGTGTAACTGTTGCCTATTGCAGTCACTGTGGAACTCTTG